AGGAAGAAACTGCGTCGCTTTCCTCTGTCCATTAGAGATGCTGTGTCCAAAGAACTTGATCGCCTACTTGCTGCTGATGTCATAGAACGAATAGATGATTCTGCTTGGGTCTCTGTAGTCACTTAGCGCAAGTCTGGTAAAATTCACATGTGTTGATCTGCGTGAGCCCAATAAGGTGGTTATTCTGCACACTTTTCCCTTGCCACACATGGATGAGCTCCTTTCTGCACTCAGAGGCGCTACTGTGTTCTCTCCCATTGACGTAGCCAGTGCCTATTACCAAGTCCACTGCATGAGGACAGTCGGGACCTGACTGCTTTCATAAGGCATGAGGGCCTCTTCCGGTTCTGCTGGCTCCCTTTTGGTTTAGTGTCCGCACCCACTGTCTTCCAGAAAATTACGGTTGTTTTCACTGACTTACCTGCCGTGGAGAATTACCTGGATGATGTTATTGTACATGGACCACATCTGTCTGCTCATGACAAAACCCTACAAGCTGTGTTACGCCGGTTGGAAGCTGCTGGGCTGCAGCTGAATAATGACGAGTGCAGGTTTCGTCAGTCCAGCCTACCTTTCCTTGGGCATACAGTGTCTGCTGATGGCCTGCTTCCTGATAAGGCCCATGTACAAGCCATCATGGACGCTCCTGCACCCACGGATGCTGTTACCCTGCGTTCATTTTTGGGGCTGCTGTCTTGGTACTCCACTGTCATTGAACCATGCATGCTCCACTGTCATTGAACATGCATGCTTGAGACAGTCTGCAGGTGTGTTCCAGTGGACTGCTGATGCACAGTAGAGCTTTGAGAAGGTAAAAACCTTGATGGCAGATAGTCCTGCTCTTTTTGACCCTACACTGCGCACTGTAGATTCCACTGATGCTCCTGACTACGGTCTGGGAACCATTCTTTCTCAAATTGGCACTGACAATCTCTAAAGGACTGGGGTGTTTGCCTCGCACACTCTTTCCACTACAGAATATAAATATCCGATAGTGGAAAAAGAAGCACTTGTGTGTGTGTGGGCTGTGGGGATGTTGCTTCACCCTGCGCACTGACCATCAGGCATTGACAACTTTGCTGACCACCAAGGGGATCAGTCGTGCTGGGATGCAAAATGCAAGATGGTCAGC